GGCCCGGCGCTCACCGGCACCGCCCGCCGGCCCGGGCCGCCCCCGCCGGGCCCGAGCGCGGCCCCTTCCCCGTGCACGAGTGCGTGTTCAAGGGGGACGTGCGGCGGCTCTCGGCGCTCATCCGCACCCAGGGCATCGCCCAGAAGGACAGTCACGGTGAGCGGGACACACCGGGGGATCCGGGGCTCGGCGCCGCGTCCCGGTGCGGCGGGAGATGCGGATGCTGGAGCGGGAAATAGGGAATGCGTTGGGAGTTTCATAAGGGTGTGTGAATCCCCTTTAGGAAGGATTGTGGGCAGGGGATGGAGGGACAGGACGCAGGGAATGGCTTCCACTGCCAGAGGGCAGGAATGGATGGGAGATTGGGCAGGAACTGTTCCCTGGGAAGGTGGGCAGGCCCTGGCACAGGTGCCCAGAGCAGCTGGGGCTGCCCCTGGATCCCTGGAATGTCCAAGGCCAGGCTGGACAGAGCTTGGAGCATCCTGGGAAGGTGGAAAGTGTCCCTGCCCATGGCAGGGATGGGCTTTAAGGTCCATTGCAATAATTCCGTAATTCCATGATTTTTGTAATATGAATGAGCGCTGTCAGCTCCAGTGCCAGCACTGTGCTGGCAGAGCTGCCTCTGACCGGGTGTTGCTCTGTGTCCAAGACCCCACTACATTTCAAAGATTCATTCTCTTTTAGGATGTCTGAGCTGTCACCTGTTTGCTTTGGGGATGCTGAGCAGTTCCTTTGGCTGTTGGCAGAGCAGTTTTTGATATTTCCCCAGGCTACAAAAATCAATCCTTTTTTTCCCCTTTCTTTTTAAATGCTGTGGCTCTGGATTTTGAGAGAGTTGTTCTCAGCTGCTCCTGTGCAAATTCTCTGTCCACAGCAGTGTCATTGGCAGAGATGGAATCTGATCCTTGTGCTGCTCTGAAATTTGTAAATATTGAATGTCTTGCCAGGACATTTCAAAACGTTTTAATTTGGGGGATATTTTATACTGTTAACAAATAAATCAGCCCGGGGGATCAGCTTGACCTTCATGGCTGGTTTTAATCTCTGTTTTTAATAGCCGTTTCAAGAGTAACATGATCCATTTCTGCTGGAGAACTCCCAGTTCCACGTGTGTGGTGTCTGAGAAGTTGTGATAAAGGGGGTGCTTGTGTTGTGTTTCTGATAAGGAGATCGGCTCTGCTTAGCTGTGGTCTGTAAATTCAAAAGGAGCATGAAGCTGAAGGGTCTCTGGGGCTGGCACGGTGGCAGGAGTGATGGAATTGGGGATTCCAGCTGTGTCTGTGCAGGCACTGCAAGGCAGCTGAGGGCTGCAGAGTAAAACGGGGCTCAGCTCCCAGCCAGGATGGGCAGGAGTGTTCCCTACAGCTGGCACAGTGCTTTCCTAAGGGCAGAGCTCCAAATCCAGCTACAGATCTGTTTATCCTGCCACCTTCATTCCAGCAAATCCTGCTAGAATGAAAGCAGCAGACTTGGGGAGGATTTTTCCCACTCTCCCTATTCCTGCTGCTGCTTCTCCCTGTTCCTCCTCCAGTTCCCCTTCAAGCAGCTCATCAGCAGCAGCTCCAAATCTTTCCTTGAAGGCACTTCCTGATCCCTCTTTGCTGTGCTGTCACCCTCAGTGTGTATCACACACACTGATTCCATCCTTTTTTGATCCATATATAAATCTCTAATTAATGTCTCCCTGCTTTCCCAGCGCTGTTCAGAGTTGGGACACTTTGGGCATCTCTGACTCATCATCTTCCTCCCAGTTTTTACTTGAGCTGTTCAAAAAAACCTCACAACAAACCTCTTGATGGCTTGACATTCCAAAGGCCTGAGTAACATTTCCCTGTTATTGTTTTCTTCCTGCCTGTTTCCATCTGTCACTTGTTTACACACACTGGAGCTGGGAATTATTTGGGGGACACTCCAGCTGATGATTTGCTCAGAAATAAGCCAGAGGAATCCTGGGATGTGCTAAGGATTGGAAAGAGGGGAGAGAGAACTTACTGTTAATAATCCAGGCCTGTTTGAGTCTTGATTCAGTGCAGGAAAGCCAAATCCTCTGGAAGGGGGGACTCCTGCTGTTCTGCTAAAAGCAATTGAGTGTTAATTGAGTGCCTACCCAGCTTCCTAAATTAACCTCCAAATCACTGCCCAGAGGAAGGCCAGGGTCATTATTCCCAAACAATGAGTTTCCTGGGAGAAGCCTGTAGCTACACCTAGCAGATGACTTACAGTTTGATTATAACATGCATTTAAGAGTTTAAATCCTGAACAGACAAATCCTCTTGCTGGAATACAGCTGGAAAGCAGCCCTGGCTCCCTGTAGGTGTGCAGGTTCCTCAGCAGAGGTGAAAGGCCACACGTGTGTGGGGACAGGGGCTGTGTTTGAGGTGTGGTTTTGGGCCAGCAGGCCTCATTTGCCCACCTGGATGTGCACGGGCAGGATTCCAGGAGCTGCTGGAGCACTGATTTCTTGGGAAAAGGGGCTGTGGCTGCGCTGGGCACTGAGGAGGCCTCACCTCATATCTTGGGGTTAGTTCTGAGGCTTTCATTCCAAAAGGGTTGGACATCAGCAGGAATTTCCCCTTGGAAAGGGTCCATGGAAAGGCACTGGCACTGCCCAGGGAGGTTGGGAGTGCCCATCCCTGGAGGTGTCCAAGGAAGGGCTGGAGGTGGCACTCAGTGCTGGTGACAAGGTGGGAATTGGGCAGAGCTTGGACTCTGTGATCCTGGTGGGCTTTTCCACCCTCAGCGTTCCTGTGTCTCCATGATTTTATGACAGTGTTTCCCCTTGGGTCACGTAATTCGCAGTTCCTGGGCACACAGTGTGGCTCCCTCTCAAACATGTTCCTCAGGAAGGTTATTTCCATCCCCTTCCAGAGCCTGGCAGCATCCAGGATTCCCAGTGCTGTGCTGGCTCCCAGATGCTGGAGCAGCTATTATTAGCAGCAGGAGTTGAGCTGGGTTAGTGTACAACGAGCTGGGCTGTGGCTGCCTGGGATGCTGCCAGTGTCCTGCAAGGATGAGATGCAGGACACACTGAACAGCCCTGTTGGGCAAGCAGGGCAGAGTTCCCATCTCCATCTGAATTTCCCTGATGCTGCAGGGTGCTGGCATTCGTGTGGCAGCCTCTCCAGATGTGCAGCACATCCTCTGCACAGAGCAGGTTCTCCCTGCTGACAAAATGGGAGGTAGAGAATAACTCTCAGCCAAGTGTGTGTGTTAGAATTGCACAAGAAATTTGTTTTCCAGCATTTTTTTCTCTTGACTGCTCTAAGAAGATGTTTAAATGTGCAAAATACAGTTAAATGAAAGAACTTTACATCCTTAAGCTCCCTAAATAAAGTGTGTCAGGAGCCTGGTAGCAGCATTAATCCAGGAAAAACAGCTCTGCGTGCCTCACAGTGAATATTTAACAACACAAATACCACCTGTGTCACAAGCATTGCCAGGGAAATGGGGACAGGTTTGAGAGGCTGCTGATCATCTCCAAAGCTTTCTTTGGAAAGAAAAAGGCAGCTTTGTAGTGAAGGTGCTGTTCCTTCTCAATATGCCCAGTACTGTAGTTGTAAAAAATGAGTACTCAGTCTTTGAAATATTAATAAAACAGGCTGTTAAATTTTTAATCAGTATGATATCCGTGAGTAGCTTTTAACCCAGATATGTCAGGCTGGGAAGGGATCAGACCCTTCAGCCCGTGAGGAGCACAGGGGTTGTGTCTTTCTCCAAGACACCTCTGGACCTCTTTGCCTGGAGAGAGTTTCAAGACATCATTCAAAACCCTCTCTTGGCCCATGAAATGTGTCTCAATAGATTTATTTTGACAATTATAATCTAAGCAAATGCCACTCTGGTGGGTGTTGGTGTGTTCCTGGGTTAGGGCAGGAACTGGAGTTTCCTAAGGAAGGGATTGCAGTGGATTCTGGTAACTTTCATCTCATTTATTTCTGTGGTTTCTTTTAGGAAACACTCCTTTACATCTTGCTGTGATGTTGGGACATAAAGGTGGGTAGAACCATTTGTTTTGTTACCTTTTCAGTCGTCCTGAAGATTTGGGGGCAAGAGGAAAAAAGGGTTTTTTTCCCCTTTCCTGAATGTGATCCTTCAATGTGTGTTTCAAGCTAGTGAGGTTTTCTGGAAAGAAGATGCCACATGGATTTGGAGGAGAAGAGTGGGAAAAGAAACCTGAGCTTTATTCCCAATATCCCACCTCACCCTGCCCTCTGGCAGTGGGAAGCCATTCCCCCTTTCCTGTCTCCTCTTGTCCCCAGTCCCTCTGCAGCTCTCCCTGGATCCTTCTCCTCCAGGCCCTGGAAGGGCTCTGAGCTCTCCCTGGATCCTTCTCCTCTGCAGATGAGCACTCCCAGCTCTCCCAACCTGTTTATTGAACTGGAAATGGAATCTGGCTGGTGATTCCAAGCTGATTTGCCTGCTCCCTGCAGAGTGATGTTCTTGTCCTGGGCATGTTTAAGGAGCCATAAAAATCCCTCGGTGTCTTGCCTGGGTTAGTCAGGGCCTTTGTTTATCCCACAGGAGACAGTTTATTCAGCAGGGAGGGATCTCTTCCTCCCCAGCCACTCAGCCTGACACTGACTCACAGCTGCTGCATCTGGAATGACCAGTGCAGTTTCCTGTGGCACCTGTGGTGGGAAAACAACCCAGGAAGTCCCTGTCTTGGTGTTGAGACAGCTGGGCCTGCTGCATCACCTCCAGACGGCTCGGGGTGGCTTTAGTGACATGTGCTGAGCTTTCCCTGTGGTTGCAAACTGAACAACCATTTCCAAGGAGCACTGAAACCCTCCTTGTCTCCTTCAGTTTTTCCACCATCATGCCCACCTGTGGATGGGGAATGCAGCTGTTGGTTCCACACCTGCTCTGAGGCTTTCCTGGAACAGAGGTGCCTGTTTGCCCTCTTTAAATCCCAGGGATGTGTTGGTGCCTCAGGCTCCTCTGCCTCCCCTACTCCTGATGGGAGTTGCCCCAAATCCGTGTCCCTATGATCCATCACCCCTTGGAGAGGGATGAAGGCCTTGAGATATTTCTCTGCTTTGTGTGTGCAGCAGAGAGAGCTGATGTCATACATTAAATATAAATACCCTTATTCCATAGTGGTGTGTGTATCTGACACGCAGAAATATTATAAAAAGCAAACTCCACGTAGCAGGAGGGACAAGTCTCTTCAGTGTTATATAATTGGTGGCTGATCACCAATTATTTTTAGTGGTAATATTGAACAGGGAAGTGCTGGAAGTACTTGCATAAATGGCTTTGTTTGTTAGAGTGAGTCAGAACCCAGATATATGTTTTGATAATCTGTGTAATATCTCTGATATGAATTGCTTTGGTAGAGTTTTATTCTGGCTGCTCCTGCTGCATCCTTTACTGTAAATAACTGTGGATATTTTGTTCCAGAATGTGCCCACCTGCTTTTAGCCCATAATGCTCCAGTAAAGGTGAAAAATGCTCAGGGATGGAGCCCTCTGGCCGAAGCCATCAGCTATGGAGACAGACAGATGAGTAAGCACCTCTTCATTCATCCCAATTTGCCAGTTAATCCCAAACTGGGGCTCGTTCAGAACAGGAAAGCAGAGCTCTCAAGCTGGGTTATTTTCCCACAGCCCTCTTTCAGCTCTCTGAAGGGTTTCTCTTAACCAGCTGAACATTTTATATGTGAACATGATCAGGCACATCCATTTCCTTGATAAGAAATTGCACTGGGTTACGTAAGCAAACTGTTAACTCTGCTCAGACAGAGCAGAGTTAAAATGGGAAGGCTCTGCACGAGCATGTTCTGGGTTTGGAATGGCAGTGACAGGATCCAAATAGATCTGGCCTGGGTAGGATCATAGCCTTGGAGCTGCTCCCTGTGGTCACAGGTTTGTTTATGGATCAGTTGCCAGTGGGATGTGGCTTTTAGGCTGCATCTCAAGAGGCCAGTGGGAAAATATAATTTATATATTATGTATTATTCAAATATTATGTATTCACCTCAGACATGGAGGAGCAAAAGCAAATTATTCTGTTGCTACTCACTGGTGGATGTAAATAGTATTTGGTATTACCACCATGTGTGGTGGTACATTCCTGTAGCAGAAAACTCACTATCTATTACACATATAAATGTATTATTAATATATTAATGCACTAATTAATAATCTACCAACAACATCCTCTTGTCAGCTCCTCACTACTGCTTTTCTCAGTGGAGTAGATGTTACTCAGTATATTTGTGTCCACATATTTGCTAATACCTGTGTACAAACCCTCTTGACATGATTCAATAGTTAATGTTACAATTATTGAGCGAGGCTTTTCTTCCTGGGGTGATCTGAGCAGGGTAATGTGCAGTTCCTGTAACTGGGATTAATTCCTCAGTTCTGATGAAATGTTCCATTGCATTGTTGGGTTTTAGACCTCAAATAAGTCACTCACCTATAACTACCAAACAAACAGAGTTCATGGATTATTTCCTGTGTAGTTTCAGCACTCCTGAGGAAGCTCAAGCAGCAGTCCAGGGAAAGTGTTGAAGAGAAGCGACCTCGGTTATTAAAAGCCCTGAAGGAGGTGAGTTGTGCTGACAAAACCAGGTGGGGTGGAAAGCAGTGACTTGTGCTCTGAGTATGGACACTCTGGAAGACTGCCAGGAAGTTTTTTTCCATGTTTTCACCAATCTTCTGCTCTTAAAAGCAATCTTGGCTCTGTTTTAAGGGGTCACAGAATTATATTTATTTTAAGGTAATACTTCCTTTCAGCTTCTAGAAATTCAAATGAAAGGTTTGTGTAAAGCAGACATGCTCATCATCATTGCAATCTCAGAGTTAAAGAATCTCTATTTCATTAGATTTTTGAGACTTTCTTTAATCTTGTGCCAATGAATAATTTCCTGGTCTGTTCAGTCCCCAAATTACTTGTGTCCAGTGATGGAGGAGTTTTTGGTTTCATTCTCCATCAGCATCCAATTCCCCTTGGGCACAGTGAAATATTGCTCAGTTTGGGGACAGCAGTTTGTAGAAACCCAGTTATGTATCAAAAGCTGATGAAGTTATCCCTGTGAAAGCTGAGCTGTGTTGTGATCCCTGAGCACCTCGTGGTGGGGCTGGCTCTGGAGGCACAGGAGGTCTGACCTGATGACTCCAGCACATTTCCACGAGGCCAGTGGCAGCTGGTCTTTGCAATACTCCTGCCTGAAACTTGACTCATTAATTATTGTATAATTAATTCTAATTCCGTGGGATTGGTTGGGATCAATCAAAGCAAGCAGAGAGCTCCATAGGTGTTTTTTAAACACGTGTTTACAATAAATCTTTTGCAATCCAGGGTTTGCTAGCTGAATTAGTATTAAGAAATGATTAAAAATGTGAGTTCAGATATTTACATCATTTTGTCATTATTGATTCTGCTGCAGCTAAAGCTTCAGTGATGTTTGAGTTCAGTACAAACTCAAGTACAACATTAGAGAAAGTTTTCTTTGCCAAACACTTCTGCCTGTCTTCCAGCAAATTTTACAGTTATTTAGCCTGAAAAGCTTGTTAACACGTTGTTCTTTTCTTCTCAGCTAGGTGACTTCTATCTAGAGCTTCACTGGGATTTTCAAAGTTGGGGTGAGTGCTTCCACATCCCTTCCCCAGGGAGATAATGCAATCAGCCTGCAGCACACTTGTTCTCCTCTGCTTTGTGCTGGAGCAGTCACAGTGCTTGGGATCTGAGTCCTGAGGAAAGGATACATGACTTTTTCCAGATTTATTTTTGCTTGCTCACTTTTGGAGCTGAATTCTCTCATCCAGTGACTCAGTATAAGGAGGGGAAGCAGCTCTTTGCTTTAAGAGCCTGAGCCATGGAATGTGTCCCTGTCCATGGCAGGGGGTGGGATGGGATGATCCCCACCCCAAACAGTCTGGGATTCCATGATTTTCTGTGTTTTATTAATTTAGTAATTAATATTAATACTTTGAACCATTTTTTATGCTTGTGACTGTTCTGCTTTAATTGGAGCCAGGCTTTCCCTTGGAGCATTATGTAAAGTGTTAAATCCCAGAATTCAAAGTATGAACAGCCACAGTTATTAGGATTTATAAATGGTTTACCTGTGATGGAAATACAAATTCTCTCTGATATTGGGAGCGGGGTGTGCAATTACAATGACAAAAAAATCAACTTTATCAGGTAGAAATACCCTTGGTGTTGTGTTTGACTGAGATGATGATGGAAAATGCTGTATCTGCATTAAAACACATCCAGAATCAAACTGATGGAATGATTTTAATGGGAATACTTTGCAGAGGGATCTCAGTGCCCTGATTGCCTTTTCTCTCCCTCCTTTAGTGCCTTTACTTTCCCGAATTCTGCCTTCTGATGCATGTAAAATACACAAACAAGGTATAAATATCAGGTGAGTGCTGCTTTTGTACCCAAATCCTTCTGTGCCAGGGAAAAGCTGGATCCCAGTGAGCCTGAATCCCTGAAGAGCCTGGGCACATCCATGACACAGCACTGAGCCTTGGAATTTCAGGCTCTCTGATTATCTCTTTTGAGCTGAATATAACTGAAATATAGAGCAAGAGCAGTTCAGCTGGATAAGGCTTTATCTGCCAGATGTGCCAGTGGAATACAGGGATTGGGTATTTATAACACAATTGCAAATAAATTCCAGTATTTTGTGGAGAAGTGTTGCTGCTCCAGTCTGTAGTTAAAAAAAAACCAAAAAGTGATATAATTTCTCTCTTTAAGGTGTTTAATGTGACAAATTCACAAACTCAGTAGGGTATTTCAGGAGTCTCTCCAAGCTCAGCTCTTTCTAGTTTGGAACCAAATGTATTTTCTGGCATTTTCTTTAGGGGCCAAAATTTAAAACAAAGAGGGAAGAATATGATTCTGGAGATTCAGTCTGTAGGAATTTTTGTTGTATTAAAGGGGCAGCTTGGGTCTGTAAAGTGAATTTTTAGGTGAAATTTGAGTCTGGGGCTGTTGCTTTCCTTCTCATTTCTGAATGCTCTGCCTGTATGAGGCTTGAACTGAGGGGAAATAGATAAATACAGGTTTTTCCTTGGAATCAGAGGCAAATCTATGAGGAGTTTTAATTCCTCACCACTTAGAGTTGAAGTCACCGAGTTCAGGTTCTATAACCACCTTTTCATGAGAAATAAATGTACTGGATATGAATTGCTACAGAGATCCATGGTCTTAGCTCCATCTTCTTCCAGGTATTCAGGTCTGCAGGAGCATGTCCTTGCTGTTGGTGAGGGAGAAAAATAGAAACAGAAATAAAAATAAATCAAATTTTAAAAAAGGAGTTTGCTTCTGAGTCCTCTTCAGCTTTTGGGTCATGTCCCAGTGTTGTTATTCCAGTCAGGACCCTGCTGAGGAGTTGTTTCTCAGTGTGTAGCACTGAATAGATTCTCTCCCCCTCCCCTCCTCGTGCTGCCAGTATCAAATACAATTTTCTGAAGATAACTTTACCCTTATAGCAATTTTTTGCCGATTTCTGCATCCAGGCTTCACTTAGGAAATTCTATGAAAACTCAGCCCCTTGTGTGTTTGTTTGCCATTAAGAAAATTCACTTTTCGTGCTTGAAAGCTGAATTTCCTCCTGCGTTTATGGGTCGTTTTTGTGAAATTTGGGGTTGTTTTCACAGGCTGGACACAACTCTGATAGACTTTACTGACATGAAGTGCCAACGAGGGGATTTAAGCTTCATTTTTAACGGTGATGCCGCACCCTCCGAATCTTTTGTAGTTTTAGACAATGAGCAAAAAGTTTACCAGCGAATACACCACGAGGTAAAGCTCTGGGAAGGGGGTGGGACACATCCCAGGCTTTTTTGGGAATGTATCAAACAAAATTTGCCTCAGAAACACCCAGAGAACTGCATACCAAAGAATTTTTACCTCAGTTGTTCCAGCTTGAGCTGTGAAGGTGACACCGAATTTTGTGAGGGAAACCAGCTTTGAATCCAGATTTCTGGTTAAGGAGAAGCTGGAATGGGAAGAGACTGGAGAGATGTGGTTTAAATTGTGATGTGCTGCTTTTAATCTTTCCACTGGGCTTAACTCAGGTGTCCTCGGGTGGGTTTTCAGAGCTGTTCCCACTGCTTTGCATCCTTTTAGTCACTCTGTGGCCACTTCAGCTGATAACAACCTGAGGGTCTGACTCACTGGACCCCCTGTAATTAGTCAAGTCTTTAATTACAAAGCTTTATCCCCCAATCACTTAAGCAGATGGATTATTGCCTGTGGAAAGGGTGTGGCTGCTGAGCTGCTGCATAAATCCCATTGGGATGCTTTATTCACATTAATATTCAAGATTAAACTATTTGGAAACCATTTGGCCAGAGGTTTTATGAAACCGCTTGTAAATGCAGGAAATGCTGCTTCTGGGAAAAGATCCAAAGGACAAGGCTTATGGATTTGTATTTATTGCTGTATAGCTTTATCCCCCAATCACTTAAGCAGATGGATTATTGCCTGTGGAAAGGGTGTGGCTGCTGAGCTGCTGCATAAATCCCATTGGGATGCTTTATTCACATTAATATTCAAGATTAAACTATTTGGAAACCATTTGGCCAGAGGTTTTATGAAACCACTTGTAAATGCTGCTTCTGGGAAAAGATCCAAAGGACAAGGCTTATGGATTTGTATTTATTGCTGTATCTTTAGAGGAAGCCAGCGTTGTTTGCTAAGTTCTGCTGAGTATTTGGGAATTTTTCTTCCAGGAATCTGAGATGGAGACAGAAGAGGAGGTTGACATTTTGATGAGCAGTGATATTTACTCTGCCACCTTATCCACCAAATCCATCACGTTCACGCGGGCCCAGACGGGGTGGCTCTTCAGGGAGGACAAAACTGTGAGTGAGGGGGAGCTCAGAGCCTGCTGCTGGGCAGGAGGGAGGAGGGAGAGGCACTGCAAGAAGCACTGGAGCAGATTTCCTGGAGAAACTCTGGTTGCCCCATCCCTGGAAGTGCCCAAGGCCAGGCTGGACATGGCTTGGAGCAGCCTGGGATGGTGGAAGGTGTCCCTGCCATGGCAGGGAGCTGGAATGGGGTGGGCTTTGAGGTCCCTTCTGGCCCAAACCAATCCAGGATTCTGAAAGGATAAGGTGTTCAGGACAGAGGAAAAATCCCTGCCCCTCTATCCCAAATTATCACAAGATCATTCCTTCTCTTTGCTGGACTGCCTTCAGCAGGAAGAACAAGGAAGAAGGATTCTGTAGCTGTTGGGCAGGGGAGGACAGATTGTGCTGGAATGGTTTTGTTCCAGGAGCCTCTGATCTCTGCAGGTTGATTCCAGGGAGTGCAGGAAGGATTCAGTGTGTGTTCCTGCTGGAGAAAGGCAGGGTTGGGAGTGCTTTGGGAAGGGGTTTCACTCAAATTCTTCAGCAATCTCTGTCTTAAAGCTTCCCTTCATAAGAAGTACCTGTTTGTGCTGGATTTTTGGGATTGCCCAGTGCCAGCTCATGTGGGAGGCTGGGGGAATTCCAGCTCAGTCCCCAAGTTCCCATATTGCCATTATTTGATACACAAGAATCAAAATGTTTTCATTTTCTCTTCTGTGAGTCATTAATGTCCTGATTCCTTTCTTGCAGGAAAGAGTAGGAAACTTCCTGGCAGATTTCTACTTGGTGAATGGACTTGTGTTGGAATCCAGGAAAAGAAGGGAACATCTCAGTGAGGAGGACATCCTTCGGAATAAAGCGATCATGGAGAGCCTGAGCAAAGGGGGAAACCTCATGGAGCAGAATTTTGAGGTATAACTGATTAACTTTGCCCAGGATGTGGGAGAATAATCTTGCACACCGCTCCTCGTGGTGCAAAATACGCAGATAATGTTTTTATTTTCTTTTGATTGGCATAATCTAAAAATCACAAACACGGCCCACAAGTATAATTTTGGTGATGCATTAATGAATTAGCCTGATTAGTGCACATAGGGAGGGATTTCTGTGGTTACATTGGGTATTCAGCCTTAATTTGTCTCTTAGAAGAGATGAGGGGTTTGGCTGTGGCAAATCAACTGCGGATTCTTTTAGACCCGACGTTGATTGTTGGGAATGAAAGGGAAGCCAGAAAGGCAATCGTGTTCCTTTGAGCTTCATTAAAACGGGAGGAAGCCTGTGATTAGCACCAGGAAATCAAGAGCTCTTCAGAAGAGCCAGGCTTCAGCTGGGAGCACACACAGAGCTTTTAAAGTGATTAATTTATTTCTGTGTGAGCTGGAGCTGCTGCCTTGGCACTCGGAGCCCTGAATTAACTCATTATGCTGGAGCAGCACAGCCCAGTCCTATGGAAAGTGCCCTCGGAGGCCAAACACCTCAGTGGGGGCTGAGGGCAGGGCTGGCACGGGCAGGGCAGGCACTGTGGCTGTGCTTGGAGCTGAGGGGCAGCTCCAGGTGGGAATGGCAGGGCGAGGGAGGGAGCGCTGAGCTGAGCCGTCCTTGTCCCGCAGCCCGTGCGCCGGCAGTCGCTGACGCCGCCGTCCCCCAACACCATCTCCTGGGAGGAGTACATCTCTGCAGAGAGTGGCAAGTGAGTGCTGCTGGGTCTGCCAGGGGCTCCAGGGAATCCCTGGATTGGGGGTTTTGGGTTCTCTGCTTGGTGGGTGCTGCTTGTGTGTGGCTGTGTGGGGAGGGAGGAGCGCTGGCTTTGGTGTCTCGCTGGCTCTTCTCCAGAGGGCTGGGAAGTGATCCTTGTGTGTGGGAGCAGTGTCAGTGCCTCAGCTACAGGCAGGGAATCCTGGAAGGCTTTGGATTGGAAGGGACTTTTAAAGCCCATCCAGTTCCATCCCCTGCCATGGCATTTCTAGGTAGTGGTTAATAAACACTTCCTGTAGGGTTTATTAACACCACGTTACGAGGAATTATTTTATTGGAATGATTTTCTTGGTTTTGTCTTGTCTCCTGGTTTAGCACAACTCAGGGTAATCTAAATTAAGAGGTTTTTTATCTTTATAATAAACCCTTTGAAAGTAGGGTTTCCTCCTGCCTGATGTTTTCCAACCCAAGTCTGTTTACCTTCCTCTAAACCCAAGATTTTCCTGGGAAACACTGACTTTACCTCTCCCTCACAGAGCTCCTCACCTGGGCAGGGAGCTGGTCTGCAAGGAGAGCAAGAAAACCTTCAAAGCCACGATAGCAATGAGCCAGGAATTCCCCTTAGGAATTGAATCGTGAGTTGAAGCTCCTGGCCACGGGGGTTATTCCTGCTGGGAATGTTTTAATGTGTTCATGAGCTGCAGAGCCCTGCAGATCCCCAGGAATGGGGGCTGGGAGTGCAGCCAGGCTGTTGAGCAAGGAATCCCTTAAACTGGGAACTGGGAGCTGTTGGGGCTGGGGAAGAGCCAAGCCCTTACCTGGCTTGATAAGAGCAGAGTTTTGGGCAGGGTTATCAGCAGCTGGTGTCTGATCCCACAGAATTCTGAAATGGTTTTCCCTGTAACAAATTCAGCCCAAAATTGTGTCCCCATACCCAGTGCAAAGCCAGGTCAGTTCCACATGTCCATGGAGAAGTGGGTGATACCTCATCCCTCCTTTCCTGTGGAAAATGAGGACAAGGCACTGCTATCCTGCTGTTGGTTTGTTGTAATTCTGGATGTGGGGTGACCCTGAAGCCCTGGGATGGAGAAGGGGGATGATGTCATTGTCACCCTCTGTGTCCCCTGGGCCCTTTGGATCATGTTTTCCTGTTCCACAGGGACAGAGGACAGGTGGCAGGAGGATCTGTCACGGGCTCTGCTCTCTTTGCAGGTTGTTGAATGTCTTAGAAGTCATTGCACCCTTCAAGCACTTTAACAAACTTAGAGAATTTGTTCAAATGAAGCTTCCACCAGGCTTTCCTGTCAAATTAGGTAAGAGCACACAAAACTCCTGGGGCTTTATATATCCAGAATTTTAGGTTGGAAAAGCCCTCTGAGTCCAACCACTCCCCAGCACTGCCCCATGTCCCCCAGTGCCACATCCACATGGCTTTGAAATCCCTCCAGGCACGGGGACTCCTCCAGGGCTGGAAAACCGTTTCCAAGTGAAATTTTCCCAAATATCCAATCCAGATCTAAACATGTATGTTTATTATTGCAATATCTTCAGAAGGTCTTTTGTGGAATTTTGGGGAAGAGCTCTCACCTAAGAATGTGTTGCTGGAGAGTTCAGGAGCACAGAAGTGCTGGGCCTTGCTCCAAGGGCAGTGGGATGTGCTGGATTATTCCTGCAAAGGGGAGGATCTTGTAACATTCCTGTGTTTCCTTTTCTTCAAGGATCACTGGTGATAGATTGATTTTAAGTGAAAAACAGAAAACTATTGCCCTTGTAGCAGATGGAAATGTCTAAGATCAGCTTATCCATGGTACAGATGATCCCAGAAGCAGTAGCCCCTTTCCTAGGGGATACAGGCTTTCTGGAATTGCAGGGAGCTGTGTGAGCAGGTAGGCTGTGCCCTACCTGTGCCATATTTGCACAGCATTCCTGGCAATGACCTCCAATTCCAGCTCGTGCTCCCACTGCCATGGGCAGGGACACCTCCCCCTCTTGCAGGCTGTTCCAAGCCCCTTCCAGCCTTGCAGGGGTGGGATTGGTGGCACTCCTGGCTGTCCCTGAGTGTCCCTGTCCCCGCAGACATCCCGGTGTTCCCCACCATCACGGCCACTGTGACGTTCCAGGAGTTCCGTTACGACGAGTTCGACGACTCCATCTTCACCATTCCCGACGACTACAAGGAGGATCCCAGCCGCTTCCCGGACCTCTAGGGGGGGCTGGGAGCTCCTGGGAACATCCACCCCGGCGTCCCAGGGCCAGGGAATGGCTGCACCCCCAGCAGGGCAGAGCCGTGGGGCACGGCAAGGGATGAACTCGTGAGCCCGCAGCGAAGGGAAGGAGCAGCAGTGCGGCTGTGCTGGCACTGCTCTGGGCATCCAGCCCCTCCAGCTCCCTCTTCCCAGAGCCTCCTGCTGCCATCCCCTTTGGCACAGCTCCTGGCTCGGGAGATGCCACCCCCGGCTGGGAGGAGCTGCTGGTTTTTAAATTTTTTACACTTGTGGTGATCCACGAGGCGCTGCTGGACCTTGGCACCGAGCTGGGGCTGGGGGTGAGGTGAGCTCCCCCTGTCCTTCCCGTGCTCCCTGTTCCCTGAGCTCCCGGCCCAGCCACGGAATGTTGGAAGGTATCCTGAAGGAATGCCTTGGCTGTAGATGAATGAACCAAACGGGCACCACTGACACTTGGATTTCCTCCTGCACCCAGGCAGAGCCGGCTGTGCTCTGCAGGGAGCGCCGGCCCAGCCTGATCCCTTCATTCCCCCTTCCCTCCCTGCTCCCTGCCTGGCTTGGGGCACTCCAGGGCTGCCTGGCCAGGAATGTCACTTGTTAATCCTTTATTTGACCCTCCCTTGGGAGAGGCTGGGCACCACCAGGTCAGTGTGTGGGAACTGGGAGAGGCTCAGGCATTGCCCCTTCCTGCAGGAGGAGCTCTCCCTGCACTGGGGCCGTGGTGGTGCTCCCAGGCAGCTTTCACTGGGGTGTTCCCACATGCATTTCCTGCCTCTTCGTGTTTAAATCACAGAGAATCCCAGACTGGTTTGGGGTGGGGGGACCTTACAGCTCATCTTGTCCAGCCCCCCTTCACAGATGGTTCAGTACTCCAGCTCCTCGAGCTTGTTCCCATTCCCAGTTGTTCCAGTCTCCTCATCTAACAATAATCCACCTTTTTGGGGTTTGTTAGGCAAGATTTGTGCAGAAGGCTGATGGTGCTATTTGTTTGTATGAAGAAATTTAGATTCAAGTGCTGTGGTGTCATTGTACAAAAATGTAAATATTTTCCAAATTATATTCTTTGTGCACTGTAGGTAAAACTTTTTCTGGAATTCCATAGAGTTAAGGATCAAAGTTTATAACGAAGAGGATCATTGATGCTCAGTAGAGGGAACAGCTGTGCTGAGCACAAGGGACAAGGGAGGGGCTCAGCACAGGGCAAGGTGTCAGGCACACCTGAGAGCAGGGAATTCCAAACTGCTGGAATCTCTGATCCATCCCAAAGAGGCTGCTCTGGGGAGGGACGTGGAGGAGGCCCAGGGAATCACTGTCAGCAAAGTCCAGGAGCACTGGAGTGGGAGGGTGGGCTTGGTCCTTTCCCAGCACCTCTGGACCTGGGGGACAGGGGAGCACTGGGACAGGGGAGCAGTGCAGCTTTGTTCTTAATTCAAACTCAAATCCAAAATGAAACCTTAGGGAAAACAAGCAAAGGGAAATGACTGCTGCAGTGCCGTGTCAGGGCAGGTGTGGAGCATCCTCTGGGAATGATGGAACTTGTTCTCCCAAGTCATGATGAATTCCTGATGTGTTTCACACCTCTGGGATGAACTGACAGCTCCGTGGTACAGGGAGGATCCGTGGGTTTGTGTTTCTTTGCGTTTTTGGTCATCCCAAATCCATCCCTGGCTCCGTGGAAGCGTCGCTGGGGCTGTGGGATCCCAGGGTGGATCCTGGCCTTGGAACTGGAAAACAAAAAGGGTTTTGGGTGGCCTCCTCTGGGATTGAGGCTCCTGTGGCTCTGTCCCCCCTGGACCAGCCCCTGGTGGCCGTGGGGTGTCTGCCCAAAGCCCAGGGCAGGTCCTGGAAGTGTTTCCTGTGATTCCTGTGGCCTCTGGCTGCAGACCTGGGGGATTTTCACCCCCCAGGACACAGCTGCTCCCTGGGACACTTCCAGGGGCTGCAGGAAGCTGTTCCTAAGGCTTGTTCTGCCTTGGACTGTGGGCACAGCTTTGGGGCTGTCCTTGTTCTGGGTTATCCCGGGAAATCCGGCTGCTCCTGCTCTCCCTGTGGAGCTGAGGGATGGGAATTCCCTGGATTGTTCCCCAGGGCAGCCCCTGGGCTCCCAGAGCTGCTCTCAGTACTTTTCCCTCCTCCTGGGATGTGTTTCCTCTCTGAACATTCCGGGTGAGGAGTTCTCACACGTAGGGATACCTGGGCATTCCCAATGGGTGCACTGCAGGAATTCTCAGTTAGAGGGACACTGGGCTGAGCCTGTGGATCCCGAGGGGCTGCCCACGTTGAGATCCATGTTTATATCCATGTTTTCTCCACTAAAGCCTGTTTTTGTCACTGGGTTGTGTTGCATGGACACGGGGAATGTTTGTGGGCCCGGATGTGTCTCCAGGGTGTTCCCAGCCCCAGCCTGGGGCACAGGGTCCCTCCCCTGTCCCAGGCTCTGGGAAATTCCTTTTCCAAGCAGCATTGATCCAGCAGAGCCTCACCTCGGCTTTCCCCATTTTCCTGGAGGCCAGGCCAGATTTTCCAGGAGGGTTTGGTCCCTGGGAGTGAGCACAGATCCGTGGACCCAGCAGCTCCAGCTCCTCCCTGTGGCCTGGGAATGCCAGGGGGACCAGGAGCAGCCCTGGACCCCAGCTGGAGTCGGTGTCCGGGGCAGGAGGAGAAGGGAGCTGGAGCAGGCTGGTGGGAATCACATCCCACTGCTCCTGCCCAGCCTGGGGCTCCCCTCCCACCACTTCTTTTTTTCCCGAGGTTTTTTATGGCTCTTAAAAGACAACCAGGAACTTTGCTCAACCCAGTTCCGACCTCACTGCGGAAGGATCCCGCGGGTTGTTTCTGAACCAAACCGTTCCTCCGGTCTTCCAAGCTCCTGCTCTGCCCGTGGCAAAGGGAACACCCTGGATTCGCTCTGGAGCTGCTGTCCAGCCACTGCACTCCCAGCACAGCAATTCCCTGCTCCTGCCTCGAGTCCGTTCGTCCCGCCCGGATGTGTTTGTGCTGGAATCCCCCGGATTCCATCGATATTCCCAGTCGTCCTCTGTTATTTTCTGTCTCTGCTCCTGAGTTGTGATTCCCGCCAGGAGAACTGCGTTATTTAATCCGGATTAACCAATTCCTGTAATGCTGCAGTTTCACTTTTCTTTTCCTGACAGTTTGTAACTCCCGAGGAAAACGAGTCACCTCTCTTGGTTTTCCTGTCGTCCGCTCCCGGGTTTTCCCTTCCCTTCACTCGTCGTCACTTTGGGTTGTATCATTTGTTAGAATAAAGACCAAACTATGCTGTTGGATTTGGAAACTGCTCCACCTGTGCAATCCAGGCTTCCCTGTCCTGTCCCGCCTCGGCTGCGCTGTGGGAGCGGAGGGGAGGGAACGAGCTCCTGCTGCTGCGTTCTGCAAGGGCATTTTCTTGGTCATTTTTTAAATAAAGTCCTGCATTTTCATTACAGCCTCTTCTCGGCCCTCTCAATCCCAGGTTTTACGGGGAGGGGATGTGGGAGCAGTTCCCAGCCTCACCAGGAGCTGAGGGAGCAGGTTGGGAGCAGCTGCTGGGGAGGGAGAGGGGAAAAGGAGCCTGGAATTCACTGAACTCTGTTCAATCCTTCCAGAATTGTCACCTCCATCCAGGAACAGCCTTAAAGGAGCCTGGAATTCACTGAACTCTGTTCAATCCTTCCAGAATTGTCACCTCCTCCATCCAGGAACAGCCTCCCCTGGATGACAGGATGGACAGCTCTGGGGGAATGCAGAGCAAAGCCTGGATGGCCCTGGAGGCTTTGGCCTTGCAGGAGGGTGGGGGGTTTGAGGGAATTGTTGGTTTGCTATTTTCTTTTGGCTTTCAGGGAGACTGCTTGGGGGTTTTGGGTTCTTCTGGGTTTTTGGCTTTTTTGAGGGAGGGCTGTTGGGGTTTGGAGGGATGGGGTTGGGGTTATTAAGGTTTTAACTCAGGCTTGCTCTCCTGAGCTCAGGGAGGGATCAGGGCCTCCCTCTGCAGGTACAGAGCTGCTGGTGGAAAATCTCCTGCTTCTAAAGGGGCAGGAAAACTTCCCGGAAGGGCTCCGGCCACTGCCAGTTAAAACAAGGATTTTCCCAACTGCAGCTGTGGCCGTGAGCTTCCTCCAAGTGCTCCCTGCCAGGCAGGGTCTCCCCAGAGCCTGCTCCTGCTCTTCATCCACCAGCACTCCCAGGCCCTTCTCAGCAGTCCCACAAACCTCCACATTCCCCCCCAGAGGTAAAATAATTCCTTCTTTACTGTAACAGGGAGATGGAAAAGTCCCCTGTAAGGAATCCGGTTAAGTTTGGTGCACCCAGAGGTGGAAATAAAACCCAGGAGTTTTCCAGGAAGAGGAGTTGAAGTTTCAGGGTTTTATTATCAAAGTTTTGTAAAACATTTTCCGAAACTGTACATCGACATGGCACAGACTGTCGGCTACTTTTGTCTTTTTACCTGCACAAAAGTAAAAGCTCTGGAGCTGCTGGAACTAAGGAACAGCTTTGGGTAACTACTCTGCAAATACCACGGGATCACCGAGTGCGGGAGAGAGGGAACGGCCGGGACAGGAACACAAATTCATCAGTTTGTACAACTTGAGATCAAGTAAAAAGTACATTATCAATGGACTTGCTTTAAAAACAGACCCAGGTCATTTTAAAATGCACTCCCTGCTGCAGCGGGTGAGCTCCTGAGCCCCCAGCCCTGGCTGAGGCTGCTCCCCCAACCCTCCCTCACTGGGCACGGCCAGGATTCCCCTTCCCTGGGTCACACCATGCCAGCTCGCCCTGGGTGGAGCTGAAGGGACACAGTGGAGAGAGCCCTCGGGAAGGTCAGGGCACAGAACCCTGGGAAACCAAAGCCAACCGAGCCCAGCACGTGGCTTAAAACCACAACTAAAGCCAAGAGCACAAAGAGCCGGTGCGATCCAAGGCCGGCTCCGGAGCGCCCGGGAGGCCCCCGGCAGCCCCTCGGTGGCTGCAGGCAGGAGGGCTGTGCCACACTCCCAGGGCATTCCCACAGGACAAGGGGGCCGTGCCACACTCCCCACGCTCCTGGGACACTGCCACACTGCTGGGCCCTGCTGGCTCAGGCCGGGACACTCCGGAGGGAGGGAAGCAGGGAGGGAGGGAGGAGGGACCTGCAGCCCGGCCCGGCCCCAGCTGGGCCCCGGAGCAGGGGATCCCTGTCTCAAGCTTTGGGTGTGAGTTAGTATCGGGATGGACAGACCATGGAGAGCTCGGAGCTGGATACATCTAGGTTGAGGATTAACAAGTACAGCATAAAGGATCACACTGGAGGGGCTGCGGGCGGCTCAGTCGCTCATGTCCATGTCCTCCTCGTGGTGGTCGTCCCCGTTCACCTTGGATTCCCTGCCCGGATCCCCGCCGCCCTTCTCGGCCCCGGGCTCCTTCCCTTTGGGGGAGGGAGCATCCGCCGCCTTCTTCTCCTCCTTCTTCTCCTTCTCGCTGTCGTAGCCCTGTTCCTCCTCGTCGTAGTCCCTTGTGACCTGCTTTGCCAGGGAAAGGGACACGTTAGCACTTCCCTGTGGGCCGGGGCGGGGGGGATGTGGGGCAGGGCTGGGAGCGGCTCCAGGGCTTTTTGGAACATACTTTCACATCCTTGTCGCTCTCGGATTTCCGCTCTCGATCCTTCTCCTTGTCTTTGCTCTTCTTTTTCTTGCTCGTTGACCGCTCCCTCTCGTCTCTGCTCCTCTCCTTGTCTTTATCCTTCTTCTTTTCCTTTTTATGCCTGTGAGGATCAGCAGGAAGAGGATGAGGCCCGTCCCCATCACCCCATTCCATGGCTGGAGCTGTGTCCAGAGCATTACCCACAGCAAACCCAGAGGAAAATGGGAGAGGGCAAGTAGGGAACAGGCTCTGCTTCCAGGAAATACCCAAAATCCCAACTTCTTAACTCTGGCCCAAGGACAGCACCACAAAGCCAAGGCTGAGCAATGCTGTGGCAAACAGAAGCATGGAATCTCCTGAGATGAAGGGCCCCACAGGGATCATGGAGCCCAAATTGTGCACAGCACAAACAGCAGCGCTCCCGTGTTTTACACATGAGCACCTTGAGCTCCCCACCCTGGGGCAGGGTCACAAAGCACCCAGGCCACCCAAAACCAGCTGATTCCTGCTGCGCAGAGCCAAAGGGACTGGGAATGGTGGCACATCCTACCCCTACCACCCCTGGAACCCCTGCCCCTCGGAGCTCCCAGCCAACCCCAGAGCAGCTCCGCAAAAGCGGCAAAGATTTCCGCCCCACAGAACCCCCTGGGAGCCTCCCTGGAGGCCACAATTTGGGAATTTCCCACCCAGACACCGTTCTTCCCAGGCAAGTGTTTCCCTGACCTTCTGGGTGATGGAGACCGGGACATTTTCCGTTTGGGAGACCTGGGCTTTTTTGGGGACCGCGTCCCGCTCCGGCTCCGCCGGCGCCGCCGTTCTCTGCAGGGAGACACGGGAGCTTTGGAAATCACTGCTTGTTTTTTTAAAGCCACAAATGCATCCCTAACTCCAACCCTAGCCCTGCTCACAGGGTACTAAAGAGTTGTTAAAACTGCAAGCTACATTTGGAAGGTTTTTTTAAAAAAAGGAACTCTTTTGCCTGGATTTATTCCCTAAATCACAGGAAGAGCTTGGCAGTGACCCTGGAGCAGCAAATTCGGACACAGAGCAAGAAAAACTGTTGTAAACCCAACAAATTTACCTCAAATGCTGCAGGAGAATGCAAATATCTTACAGACACAGTGGGACAGGTGCTGTTGTGCCTGTACCAGACACATCCTCATTGGAATCGTGATCCAATGGGATCCAGGCACAGTCTGGGCTGGAAGGGACCTCAAAGCCCAGCTCCTTCCATGGGCAGGGACACCTTCCACAGACCAGCTGCTCTATCACAATATTTCTATTTAATATGGATTGAAGTGCATCAAAATCCTGCTGGGCACAGAGAGCAAGGAAAATCCCATTTCTGTACCTGCTTGTGCTTCTGGATCTTCTGGTTGTGCTGTAGCTTTTGGGGGGAGTTTTAGAACGTTTCTTCTCTTTCTCTTCCTTCTTTTTATCCCTTTTAGTAGAAAAGAGATTAAGTTTAAGTCACTTTCAAACAGCACATCCTAATCTGCTGTGCAGGGACAGGGATGCAGAGCTGGGAGGGGCAGGGCTGGCTCCCCAGGCTGAGCCCCCCCAGGTGCTCCAGCCCCTCTCTGAAGTGAGGGCCCAGAGCTGGACACAGCCAGCACAGGGGACAATCCCTGCCCTGCTCAGGACTGGAGTCATCACCTGGTTTTGGATGTGCTCCGAGACCTCCTGCTCCTCTCTCTGGAATGAGATCTCCTCCTCCTCGGACTTTTGGATCGCCTCCTGCTTCTGGATTTGGAATGGGACCTTCTCCTTGATCTGCTCCTGGAGCGTCTGCCAGGGACACACCAGCATGGAGTCACGGGAAGGACACCTTGGACTGCTGCCAGCCCAGCCCTCAGGGCAGGGAACCCCCCAAAACCCAAAAGCTCCACCCGCAGCTCTGCCTGGCCTGCACAGGAGCTCTGCACGCTGAAATGTCTCTGCAGCTTTGGAGCCCCACATCAAACCCAAGGCTCTCCCCCAGAATGATTTTTGCAGGAGCTGTTCTTGCCGTGGGATGTGTTTCTAAGGAATTGCTCAGTCACCTGTGTCTGGATGAGGAAGGTGTCCTCCTCCTCCTCGAGCGTGACCTCGACCTCGAATGTCTTCGTTTTTCATCTTTTTTGTCTGGAAAAGCACAATAAAAAACAATGTTTTGTTTTAATATTCCGGAAGGTGTCCTCCTCCTCCTCGAGCGTGACCTCGACCTCGAATGTCTTCGTTTTTCATCTTTTTTGTCTGGAAAAGGAAAAGCACAATAAAAACCAATGTTTTGTTTTAATATTCCAAACGATTTTCTAAAGGAAAGGACCTGGAGCTTTATGTAATTGATATAAATCACCTGATCTTGCCACTTGACATGAAGGCTCATCTATCATTTTCTTCACAAGAAGACAAAAAGAAGCAACAAAAGACAGGGACATGTTTGTGACATAAAACAGAAGTTTTATGCAAAACTGGAGAAGTCAAAATTCAGAAAAAAACCTCAATTTAAGTCAGTGAAAAGCTGATGGCTGCAGGGCAATGGAAAATCCTGTGAAAATCCCAGAATCTGCCATTTCCTGAGGGGCTGAAGAACCTGTCAAATGATTGTTTTGAATTTCCCACAAAAAAAGCCTCAAGCTAAGCAAGAACAGGAGCTCTGTTCTTTCCTAGAAATCATCAGGCTGCAGAGCTGATGAATATTCTGTATTTTCAGTGCTCAGGTTTCTGCCCCTCAGATTTGGTGGCTCTGACATTTGTCAGAGCTGCTGGAGCTTGTTTTAAAATCAAACCTGCTGAAAGAAGCTCCAAAAATAGAATTATTTACAAACCTGCCCAGATCAGGAA